CCCCCCCCCTCTCCCCTCCCCCTCTCTCTCCTCCCCTACCCTCCTTCCTCCTTCCCTCCATCCTCCTCTCCCCCTTCCCCCTCATCCTCCCCCTCCTCCTCCCCCCCCTCTCTCTCTACCCTTTCCCCCCTCCTTATCCCTCCCCCCCTCTCTCCTTACAAGATAGAGTAAGAAAGAAAGGAAGAGAGAAGAAAAAAAAAAAACTGGCAAATCCAATAACCAAACAGGCCAAAAAAAGAACAACGATAGAGTAAAAAGAAAGCAGAGAGAAATAAAAAAAAAAACATGCAAATCCACTAACCAAAAAACAAAAAAGAGACCAACGATAGAATAAGAAAGGAAGAGAGAGAAGAGAGAGAGAGATAAAAAAAAAATGAAAATCCACTGTTAAGTTTGGACAGACTATCCGAAATAAACGGACATAAGAAAATACGAAACGATTAGCATAACCAAACAAACAAAAAAAGAGACCAAGATAGAAAGTAAAAAAAAAAAAAAGAAAGAGAAGAAAAAAACAATGCAAACCAATTAACCAAACAAACAAAAAAAAACAGACCAAGATAGAGTAAGAAAGAAGAGAGAGAGAGAAAAAAAAAACATGCAAATACACTAACCAAACAGGCAAAAAAGAGAACAAGATAGAATAAGAAAGGAAGAAAAGAGAGAGAGAGAAAAAAAAAAACAGCAAAATCCACTAACCAAACAGGCAAAAAAAGAGACCAAGATCTAGAGTAAGAAAGGAAGAGGAGAGAGAGAGAAAAAAAAAAACCATGAAAAATCCACTGTTAAGTTTGACAGACTATCCGAATAAATAAGAAATACAAACGATTAGATAACCAAACAAACAAAAAAGAGACCAAGATAGAGTAAGAAAGGAAGAGAGAGAGAGAGAGACGAGAGAGATAAGGACAGGGGAGAAAGAGGAGAGAGGAGAGAGATGAAAGAGGAGAGAGATGAAAGAGGAGAGAGAGGAGAGAGAGCAAAATCCACTGTTAAGTTTGACAGACTATCCGAAACCTCCTTGCAAGCCACAGAACAAAGGGCTGTGACTTCTTCTGTTGCTGGTCTAGTCGATCACGGGCGGGAAGTGAATGAATGTGGGTACTTGGGGTAAACGGGGGGAGGGGAGGGGAGAGGTGGGTCCGGATGGGAGGTGGGCTGTGGGTGGGGCGCGTTGGGGGTGGGGGGTGGGGGGGTTGTAGGGAATTTTGTGGGGTGGTTGCGAGGTTGTGTAGGTGCGGAGTGACTGAGCGCTGGGGTGGGGGGGGGGGGTTGGAGGAATTTTTGTGGGACAGGTGTCGAGGGTGGGGTGTAGAATTTCTGTGGGCGATCGGTTGAGAGGGGGTGTGTGGGGGGTGTGTGTACGGTGAGGGTGAGGTTTGGTGGGTTGTAGGAAAATTTGTGGCTGCTCCGGGGGGGTCTGCAGAGGTTAAGTGGGTTGATGCTAAGTACGGTTGGGAGGGGGTGGGGGGGTTGTATAGGAATTTTGTGCTCTTTCTCGGGCGGGGAAATGGGTTGGAGGTGTGCTAGTGCGCTTATGAGCTACCGTTCGGGGTTGTGTTGTGTGGGTGCGGTATCATGTGAAGGTCTCGATGCGTTGACATCTGTTCTTAATCGCTTAATTCTTGGGTATTGCGGGTGAATTTGGGAGAGTGTGAGGGGCCGTAAACGGTGCCGGGGTTGTGGGGTCGAGTTCGTGGTGTTGAGGCCGGTGTTTGATGGGATGTAGGAATTTTGTGGGGTGGTGCTTTGGAGGGGGGTCATGGCGCTGGGTTGTAGGGAAATTTTGTGGGGTTGGTTGGAGGGGGTGCAGTGTAGGGGTTGATGTGGGTGCGTGGTGGGGGTGCATTTGGACGTTGTAAGGGATATTTGTGGGGGTGGGTTGCGCGAGGCGGTGAAGGTGGGTGTTGTTGTGCGTGGTGGTGTTGATTGGTGGATGGGGTTTAGGAATTTTGTGAGGTTGTTGCTATTAGCGAGTTTGTTCAGAGTCTGGCAATGCCGTTTGGTGTTGTTTCGCCTGTGGTGTGTGTCCGTAAAGTGTCCGTCCCTACGTTGTAACATGCGTGTCTGCATATGAGTAACTCACAATATATCTTAAGAGAACCAAAAATATACACAAATGACCGATAATAATAAACATAGACTTGATATCTAAATATCCGCCTACGCGTATACTGGAGAAAGAGAGAACAACAATAAAAAAGCGCGAAGGTCAATAAACTGAACAATACCGAAGGACGGAAATAGGAGCAGATCCAAGAATATGAAAGAGAGAGAGAAAAAAAAGTTTAGATGTGAGGGAGAGGATAAAGGAAAGACGGTAAAAATTATAAAATGAGAAAATGGTCAGCGAAGGTGAGCATGAGGAAGGAAGAGGAAGGAGAGAGCGAGAAGAGAACGCGGGGCTGGATGATAGGAAGAGAACTGAAAGGAGGAAGCGTAAGAAAGAAAAATTGAAAAAAGTGATAGAAATAAAAAGAGAGACCGGACAGTCCACAACATACACGAGAGAGAGAGAAGAGCAGAGAAAGCATTATGAGAGATGAAAGAGTAGAGGAGAAGAACGAGAGACGGCTGAGAAGGAAGAGAGAAGAGAGAGAGAGAGAAAAGAGAGAGGGGGAGAGGAGAGGAAGGAGAGGACGAGAGAAGACGAGAAGAGAGACGAGAGAAGAGAGAGAAGAGAGAGAGAGAGAGAGAGAGAGTGTTGGGAGACAGAGAGAGAGAGAGAGAGAGAGAAGGGGGGGGAAATAGAAAGATGAAAATGAAGAACAAAAAGGAGAGAGGATTGAAATGAGGAAAAGAAAAAGGAAAGTCATGATAGGAGAGAGAAGAGAGAGATCCGAAGAGAGAGAAGAGAGAGAGAGAGAGAAGACGAGAGAGAGAAGAGAGAGAAAGGAGGAAGACGAGAGAGAGAGAGAGAGAGACGAGAGAAGAAGACAGAGAAGAGAGCGAGAGCAGAGAGAGAGAGAGAGAGAGAGAGAAGAGAGAAGAGAGAGAGAGATGAGAGAGAGAGAGAGAGGAGAGAGAAGAAGCCGAGAAGAGAGAGGAGAAGAAAAATCGGGAAGAGAGAGAGAGAGAGAAGAGAGAGAAGAGAGAGATAAAGAGGACAGACAGACAGATAGAAGAAATAGATAGAGGAGAAGACAGAAGATAGAGATATATAGAGAGAGGCATACATATAAAGATAGATAGATAGAGGAGAGAGATAATAAGAAACAAAAGAAGAAAGAGGAAAGGAGGAAAGGAGAAGAAATGAAGAAATGATAGGAGATAAGAAGAACGTAACAAGAATAATAGAGAGAGATGCACGAGGCACATTATAAATAAGTAGCAATAGTAATACGCCTGAGACAGAAAAGAAGAAAAAGAAGTTGAATAGCGGAAGAGAGAGAGGAGAGAAATAAAGAAGGAGAATGAGAGGAGAGAGAGAGAGAGAGAGAGAGAGAGAGAGAGAGGAGAGAGAGAGAGAGAGATGATCAGGAGAACCACCCTAACGACAGCGAAACGGAAAAGGGGAAAAAAAAAACTTTTTCAAAAAAATAACTTAAGAAATGAAAAAATAACCCCCCTAACCCCACCCACCCCACCCTAACCCCATGTGACCACCGTACTACCCCCTCCCCCCCCTAACACACACAGACCACCATGACCACAACCACCAGCAGCACGACCACCACCACCACCTGCACGACCACCACCGCGACCCAACGACCCAAAACTAGTCGAGGTCGCCGTAGGTCGTACTGTTCGCGGTGTAACAACTGTTTCGGTAATTCACCTCATCGCCACGCCCAGGTAAGTTGGGTTTTTTTTCGCGGGCGTTCAGCTGTGACGTAAATATTGTCTAAAACAGAAAGTCTTTATTCGTGGCAAAAAGAATTGAGAGACACTCTTCTGGAAACACCGTCTTGGACAAACGGATGTGATTTTAAAAATAAAAAACACTGTTTAGTATCTTTTTTTAAGGAGGAAAGAGAAATCCATTTGATTCTTGTGATTTCCGCAATGTGCTTGTCTTTTTTTTTCTTTCTTTTTTGCAATTTCAGTAACAAAATGCTTTTCCCGGCATTTTTTAAGCTTCTGGAATTTTCTTTGCATGCTCAGCTAACCTCAATTCCTTTTGCTTTTATGTGTGTGCATTCGAAAGCAATTTTTATTTGCATGTTAGAGTTAAGACTTTTCTTCTTACACAATACTTTAAGACAGTAATAAACATTCGTTAAAATCCGTACGTCAAGCAATGGACACAAATGATGTACAGGTGTAAAAAAAAAAAAAAAAAAAAAAAAAAAAAAAAAAAATTGAACACTTAAACATTAAAACCCGAATATTAAATCGATACTCGGATCTTACACCGGGAAATATAAATAAGCAATTGTAAATAATAGTTTATCCCAAGAAACCAAACTAGGTGTTAAATTCCTAACGGAAATTCTTGCTCGTATGCCCAGCGAGTAGGCCTATGCGATGAACTTTTTAAATCGAAGGAAATCTGTCTTGTTTATTCCTTTATTTATTCATTTTTGCGTACCTAATGCCTTAAACATTTATACACAGGATTGGAAGGTTGTGTAGTTTGTGTGGTAAGGGATAAGTGTGGTGGCAGAGAGGATGTTATGTGTATATATATGACGGTGCGTGGGAGTGGAAAAGGTAAAATATATTTTTTTTCTTGAATTCTATATTTCCGTAGATTTATTTATTTATTTTTTTTTTTTAGTCAGTAGATTTTTTTTTTCTAGATATGTATGGTTTGAGAAAAGGATTTAGACTTGCATTGGATAAGTATTAGAAGAAAATGATAATCGAGATATGTAAAAAAAAATAAAAACTTTTCTTTCTACAGAAGGACACTGCAACAGACAAGACAGAAGCCGAACGAAACAACAACAATAACAACAACAACAACAACAATAACAACAACAACAACAACAATGAGCCGGCCGCCCTCGAGACCGCGCAGCCAACGGAGACCCCCCCACCCCCCGCCACACCCCAACCCTCGACAACCGCCCTCGGGACCCCAGCCGCTGCGCCTACGCCCCGGGCCGCCCCCCACCCCCAGGGAGGCGCGCCGACTCCCCCAGCGACGTCGACCTGATGGAGGTGATCAAGATTCCTGAGGTGGCAGGCAAGAGGTCCCTGGTGGAGGTGCTGTCGCAGGTCGTCAAGCTGGAGCGGTCTTCGTCGTCGTCGGCTTCGGAGATGACCTCGAGGACGACCCCCGAAGCCCCGGATATAGTGACGTCCACGACCAAAGGGCGCGAGAGGAGGGTCGTCACGGCCAGGAGGGCGATAGGAGGCGGAGGAGGAGGTCTAGGAGGCGGCGGAGGAGGAGGAGGAGAGGTGAAAATAGGAGCCGATGTCGCCACCCTCGCCATCTTGTGCCAACACTATGCCGAGCTTGTCCACGCTCTCAAGGTTAGTGGAGTGACGTTAAAAGTTCACGTTGTTCTGGGACATGACCTTTTTAGTACGTGGAATTTCTGTACGTGGCATTTTACGTACGTATAATACCATGAAGGACGGGATGGTATTTTATGTACGTATAGTACCATCAAGAACGTGAAGTTATTTTATGTACGTATAATACCATCAAGAACGTGAAGTTATTTTATGTACGTATAATACCATCAAGAACGTGAAGTTATTTTATGTACGTATAATACCATTAAGGACGGGATGACATTTTACGTACGTATTATGTCATCGAGTACGTGGTGTTTACGTAATGGTTAAGCAAACGGTTTCTTGGTCCTTGGTAATTCTGGAAGATATTGTGTTAAAATATTTTTATATTGACGAGGGAAATGTATTCATAAATAAAGGTTACTGATTCGGATAATGCACGAGTAGACAGACAAGTAAGCACATACACACACGCACACACACGCACACACACACACACACACACACACACACACACACACACACACACACACACACACACACACGCACACACACACACACACACACACACACACACACACACACACACACACACACACACACACACACACACACACACACACATACACACACACACGCACACACACACACACACACACACACACACACAACAGACACAAGCATTCCGAAACACAAACAAGCACTTGACACCAACAGCCTCAACCACAACTAAAACAATTTAAAAAACGAAAACCAAAGCCAAATAAACCAACAGACGAACCAAAAACAAAAACAATAACAACAACAACAACGACAACAAAACGAAAAAGAAAAAAAACGTAACGCTCATATTTCAAAATTTCCCGCGCGTTTGTTGGTGCAAGAGCTGATCATGAGATGCCATTTTTTTTATTTTTCAATATTTCCCGCGCGTTGATAATGAGATTTTTTAAATTTTCGTTTCGTTTCTCTAATTTATTTCTTTATTTGTTTAATCGTCAGTTATTTGATGATACTAATACTTTTACTAATAGTGATAGTGTTATGATTGCAATGATTATGATATGAACGTTAAATTACATTGAGTGATAATAAAGGTGATGATGATAATAATAATGATAATGTTCATAATGATCATAATGATGATAATTACAGTAATGATATAGCGATACTGATGATATTGATAATAGTATTAATGATAGTAATAATGATAATAATGATAATAATAATGAAAATTATAATAAACGCAATAGTGATGAATATAATATTGATAATGATATTGAAAATGTTGATAATAATAATAATAATGATGATGATGATATTGATGATAATAACAACAATAAGAATAATTATAATACTAATATCGATAATGATAATAACAAAAAAAAAAAAAAAAATCTAATTGAAATACAAAAACTGACAACATATAAAGGCAAGTAGATATTTGTTGTTCCTTTTAAATGAAATAGTTTGACCCAGGATATAAAGTTTTATGATGTTTTTTTTAACCTTTATTAAATCGTGTTTATGCCTGGACATCCAGTAAAGTAGTTTAAAACTTGCTTGTAATGAGATTAGGTAGGGGGTGGGAGGAAGAGAGAGGGGGAGAGGGGGGGAGGAAGAGTAGGAGGGAGGGAGGAAGAGAGATAGGGCGGAGAGGGAGGAAAAGAGAGATAGGGCGGAGGAGGAAGAAGAGGAGGAGGGAGAGAGGAGGGGAGGAGGGAGGAGAGGAGAGGAGAGGGAGGAAGAGAGAGAGAGGGGGGAGAAGAGAAGAGGAAGAAGAGGGGAGAGGGGGAGAGGAGGAGAGGATAGGAGGGGGGAGGAGGAAGAGAGAGGGGGGAGGAGGAGGAGGAAGAGAGGAGATAGAGAGAGGGGGGAAGAGGGAGAGGGGGGTAGAGGGAGGAAGAGAGAGAAGAGAGGGGGTGGGGGGAAAAAGGAAGAGAGAGAGAGAGGGGAGGGGGGAGGAAGAGAGAGAAGAGAGGGGGGGAGGAAGAGAGGGGGGGGGGGAGGGAGGAAGAGAGAGATAGAAAGAGGGGGAAGAGGGAGAGGAGAGGAAGAGAGAGAGAGAGGGTGAAGAAGGAGGAAAAGAGAGAGATGAATAGAAGGAGGAGGGGGGAGGGAGGAAGAGAGAGAGAGAGGGGGAAGAGGGAGGAAAGAGAGAGAGAGAGGGGGAGAGGAGGAAAAGATAGAGAGAGAGGGGGGAAGAGAGAGAAAGGAGGGAGGAGAGGAGAGGAGAGGAGAGAGAAAAGAGAGAGAGAGGAAAAGAGAGGAGAGAGGGGGAGAGGGAGGAGGGAGAGAGAGGGTGGGGGGAGGAAGAGAGGAGGAGGAAGATAGAGAGGGGGGGAGGAAGAGAGAGAAAGGAGGGCAGAGGGAGCAAGAGAGAAAGGGGGAGGGAAACATAGAGAAAGAGAGAGATAAGGACATAAGAAAAAAATGGAAATAAAAAAGGAAA